GAATTCTGTTCATATTTTTCTAAGTGTTTACCATTTATATCACTGGGTCATATTCTCAATTCTACTTTCTAAAAATTTGACACAAAATATGAAGAGGCATACACAAAATGGATAACACATTTAATTTACAAAATGAGCTACATAAACAAGGGGATACTAGAGGAGTATGATTTTAAGAGAGTTACTCTCACTTTTCTCACAATGTCTTTGATCCTCATTCAGAACAAATTAAGGTCACCCTTGTTTTATTCAGATGTAGAAAGCGAAACAGTAAAGTTACTGTCTCCAGCCACCCCTTTCTCCATCTCTGACCAATCCAGGCTTCTTCCAGGATAATGCAAAGAACTGAACCTACTCCTTCTGTCCCATGTTGAAACTTAACATACATATTCCCAGTGGGCATTGTTTCAAATGGTAGTTATGTATTACTGAAGTGATACATTGATAAACTTAAGAGATATGATAACATAAAAACTGACCTTTTAGAGTTGGCCTGATAATCTAGCCATCAATTATAATATCTAAATATAAAACCAAGTTCAAAAAGGTCTCCAGATAAGAGGCTTTTGGAACACAACACTATCCCAGAATGATCAATTGAATGTTCCCAAGTTGACATCAAGTCATTACATATCACTTGGAACTCTTTAATTAGTGATTACACTCATTAAACAATGTAATCCAACTTCATTTTTTATCAGAAAATTGATAAAAATGTCAACTAGGATTATGTTTGACTCTAACTTAAACATACAATTTTAAAAAGTTAATAAGAGAAAATCTCTAAGAAAAGTACATGTGATGATCAACTACCTCTGATGAAAGTTTTAAAAAATCAGAATAAAGAAATGATAGCACCCTTTGTTCTATATTTATAATGTGAGTAATTACCCAAGACACACACAACTGTGTCTCACTTCACTCTCAACCCTATTTTCCACCTGGCCAACTGAGAAATTTTCTGAAAGCACCAAACCAACCTCATTGCTCTCATGCCAAAAACCTCTTCATGGCTTTGCACTACCATCTGAATAAAATGAAAACTCCTTAGGACAAAATCTTCTTGATCTGGCTCCAGCCTACCCCGTCTATCTCCACGTCTCCCACACTCTCACTGGCACGGGGAACTGGGGTTCTGAGACCTTCCACATGGTCACCCAGCGCTCCCTCCAGCTGACCGCCCTTTCCCCAACACCCTTCCTCATCCTTGTCTAATGCCACCTCCTCTAAGAAGCCTTCTGCCCACCTCCTATCTTGGTAAGCTAGCCTTCCCACACAGTACTTCTAGGAAAGAATAAAAATGTCCTTCTCTGAGAATAAAGGTCATCAGGTAGAACAGAAAACTACAATGTAAGTATGGAAAGAAGCGGGGGGGAGGTTTCTGGGGTTAGGATGATCACGGGAACATGTAAAATGTGTACAAAATTTAAGAGTCTGCATAAACATTAGAAATATCTTTAATTTCTTGATTTTGGGAATGTATGAAGGTCACAAGTTATAATCCCTGTGAAAATCAAGGATCTAGAATGCTATTACATTGTCCATATTTTTCTCACATTCTAGCTGGCTCTGCATCATACTAATATAATAGCAACATAAATACATATTCTACTAAAACAATATCCACTATTAACAGATGTGTTCATAAATTCTGTCCCTTCAGAAGTAAATCTGTCTAACACTGATGTTCAGTTTTGAGAGTATTATTCTTGTCATGTATCTTAACTAACTTTGATACCTTTTTTCAAGTGGAATGCTAATATTACTTCATTTTATTGTTATAGGTTGCATTCTGTGAGGACTGAAGCTAATATTATAGGCCCACAGATCACAATAGAATTACTTTTCTCCATCTCAACCTCATTATGATTTAGGAGACTACAGGAGTCAAAAACAAACGTAGGGAGTCAGAAAGATAAAAGCAAATCGAAGGATCTCTGGGATCGTGCGAAGGGATGTTGGGGCAAAAATACCAAAAAGTTAGAGAGATTTGAAGAAGCAGCTGAGGCGCTCCTGCTGGCTTTGCAGAAACAAGCAGACCTGTGAATTACCTATGGGGGGGGGGTGGCCATGGCAAGGACCTGAGGGCCAGGAGCAGTGGAAAGCTCTCCCCAGCAATGCCACACAAGAGGCAGACCTCAAGGAACCGAGTTTTGCTAATGACCAATGAAGCTTCAGGCAAGACCACAGCCCGATTCAACTCTCAATTTCAGTATGTGAGGCCCTGAGTGCAGGCCCCCCACTAAGCTGTGCCTGGACTCCTGACTCACTGAAATGATAAGAAAATAAATTTGCATTGTTTTAAGCCACTGATTTTGCTGTAATTTGTTAGACAACAACAGCAAACTAATATATTATGCTTCATAACCAAGAAAATATTGCTCTTAACACGTCTGCTTATAAACCTTGTCCACATCAAATAATTGTTTCCTCAAATAACATATTGCCTTTTCTATCCAGCAAATAAGCTTCTATTTTCTTGAAATCTGGACATTTCAAATTTGTTATAAAGCATTTTATCTCTGAGCTTTTAGTCTGACTCAAAATACATCTAAAAGTGAAAACTAAATTTAAAAGTACATTTTCCTAAATTTTTGGAACCATATTTTGAAAACTTACTATTTTAAAAATATTTACCATATTCCACGCTTGGAAAAAAAAGACACGCATTTAATATACTTACTTCTCTTTTCAGTATTTATGCTAATCACTAGAACATATCGTATTAAGAAATACATCACATTGTGGGAGCTTATTCACTCAGTATGTGAATATTTTGATACAATATATAATATGTGGAAAAAGAAGAGATAGACCAATTTTATAATCAAAAGAAATTATATAAGATTATATCATTATAACATAATTATAACCTGTTTTCATCGCTGAATCTGTTATCTAGTAAACCGGGGGGAAAGAGTTTGGCATTATTACTTGTGCAGTTAGAGGGCAAAATATAAGCTGCTATTTAGTATTTTCGAAATGTAAGAATTAAAATTTTCTTCCGTGCTTTTGTCAAATAGGAAATTTGCAATTAAATAAATTGATATCGTTACTTGCTCTAAACCTCTTTGTACAATTACAAATAAACTTTGGTCTTTTAAAAAAGAAATCTGCTGTAAGTTAGCCTACCTTCCACACTCAGAGTCCCCATTTTAGACTCCAGGAAATCAAATAATGTGCTCGGCGCTGAGGGCCTTGCGTTTCCCAGCTCCTCTTCGTCTTCCGATCTTATCCGCCCCCTGCCTTTTCCTTTACCTTAAGAAGTAAAGCAAGACATATATGTTGTACACGCAAAACAAAAGGAGAAAATACACTAAAATATAATCAGCCGACATCTTAAGTAAAACTTTGTATATATTTCTTTTCATATTTTTCTGTATATTCTACATCTTTGATAATAAAACTTTTTTGTATTTATTTATTTTTTATTAGTTTCAATAATACAAGTTTTTAAATGATTGTATTAACTAGTACTTTTAATCCTCTAAATGATTTATTTAAATTTTTAAATTTTTTCATGTAAATTTTCTTTTAAGGAAAAAAATCATTTTCATAAAATATTTCTTTCACCACTTATTTTTAGAAGAATAGTAGGATTAGGCCTTGAAAAACCACACAGTACCTTTGACTACGCAAAGGTTAGTTCCCAAACTGATGCTTCTCCCACTTACCACCACGTGGCAAATAAATGAAGTTATAGCCTCACAGCAACGAAACCTAGCCTCTGTCAACAACAAATATGCGTCTGAAAGGAAAACAATACCATCTGGCACAGTGCTTAACAAGTTATACCTCTCAGAGGTGGACCGGGAACAGGTTTCTGTTTACTGCTGTTAAGAAGCACATTTAATGCCGCTTCTAAGTTGTTGCCATTATCCATAAGAGCCTGCCTGGAAGCTTCCTTACTGAAGCCCATTTCTGTTATGTGCTTCAGAGCTTTCTCATCAACCTGCAAGGAACGAAGAGAAAAGCTATGTGATAACCAATAAAAAAAGCAAGGTATATGTTTTTAACTATATACTGTTTTCCAGCTAACAACTGTATCTCATGTTTATGGGAAAATGTCATATTAATACAACATTCACTTGCTGTTTTTTTCAAACCAATAGTTAAGGAAGAATCCGCATGATGTAGGGTTGTGCCTTGAGTACACTCTGCTTCACAAGTACCATTACAAATACAAAACAAAACAAAACAAAAACAAGGATCTTTATGATAAGTCAGAATAAAGCTTTTGAAAATAATATAGACAGTGAAAACTATCCAATTAAAAATTTTCATAGTTAATACTTCTCCATTCTAGAAAAGAAATGTACTTTATATAGTTCCTCTCCAAAAAATGCAAAATATAAAATGAAGCTAACAAAATAGTACCATCTCAGTAGCTTTGTTTTGTTCTACTCTCTGTTGTTTCAACATTCTGCTTTATACTCATTAGCAATACTGCAATACTATGTATGATGCTTAGACAACATATATCCCAAATAAAATAAATCTGCTTTACGAATGCCAGAACCCAAAATCTCCTTGACAAATCTAGATCTGAGTAGAATTCAAGAACTTTCTAAGTAACACAAACATATCCCATAAAGAAATTTATTGAACTGTAGCCAGCTGAGGAATGCATAGCTAACTGTTGTACACCCAAAATGAGTAGGTTTTAAGGCAGCATATACAGGGCATGCATGTTCCAGACAGCCACTGACACCCATGGAGACATTGATAAAAGCACAGTACAGTAATACCTTGGTTTGCGAGCAGAATTCGTTCTGGTAACAAACTACTCATATTGCCAGACATTGCTGGTTTACCAAGTTAAAATGTATCAGAACTGTTTGCTCGTCTTGCAGAACATTTGCAAATCACGTCACTCACGATCCAAGGTTTTACTGTACTTCTTTTCCCAAAGCTGACTGTATCTTTCCAAACACAGAAACCTTTCTAAACACTTTTCTCAAACAGTAGTTTGCCGTGATCAGGAATGTCTGGATGCTGATGGTAAACACTTTGAGCACCTCTTGTGATTGCAGAAATCAAATGTGATTTGCACTCATCTTTTGTTATTGGTATATATTGAGCATTACAATTTTAATACAGTTTTCCTTTCTTAAAATGTGTATACATTTTTTGGCACCCTGTGTGTGTGTGTGTGTGTGTGTGTGTGTGTGTGTGTGTGTGTGTGTGTGTGTGTGTATTAATTATAACTGGCATTCGATATTATTTTATATTAGTTTCAGGTGTACAGTGCAGTGGCTAGGCATTTAAGTTATACTTTTGGTGGTCTTCTTTTTTGAATGATACCTTTCCTGGATATAGAATTCATGTTTAGCAGTTTTCCCTTTCATTATTTTCAATATATCATCCCACTGCTTTCTTGCCTCCATGGTTTCTAATGAGAAATTGGCTGTTTATCTTATTGAGGTTTCCTGTTATTTTTTAATTTTTAAAATATTTTTATTTAAGTATAATTGGTATACAATCTTATATTGGTTGTATTAATTTCAGGTGTACAATATTGTTCTTGATTGAGTTGCTTCTCTCTCACTGCTTTCAAGATTTGTCTGTCTTTACCTTGCAACAATTTGACTATAACGTGTCTTGGTATGTCTCTGAGTTTATCCTACTGGAATTTGTTGAGTTTCTTGCATTTGTAGATTCATGATTCCATCAAATTTGGGGTCATTATTTCTTCAAATATTTTTTCTGTCCCCTTCTGTCTCCTCTCATGGGGACTCCCACAACATGTATGTTGGCACACTTGATGGTACCCCATAGGTCCCTTAGGTTCTATTTCTCTTCGTTCTTTTCTCTTTCTGCATCTCAGACTGGGTCATATCAATTAAAGTTCACTGATTCTTTTTTCTACCTATTTTAGTCTGATGTTGAATCAGAGCAATAATTCTTTTGTTGTTGTTAATGTCAGGTGATGTATTTTCCAGCTCCCAAAATTCTACTGAGTTTCTTTTTTATACTTTCTATCTCTTTATTGATAGTCCCTATTTGCTTATATATTGGTCTTCTAATTTCTTTTAGTTCTTTGTCAATGGTTCACTTCAGATCTTTGAGCATATTTAAGACAGTTAAAATCTTTGTTTAGTTAATTCAATGCCTGGGCTTCTTCAGAAATGATTTCCTTCAATTTCTTTTTTTCCTATATGATTCATATTTTCCTGTTCTTTGGTATGCTTTGTAATTTTTTGTTAAGAACTGGAGATTTTGAATACTGCAACAACGGTAATTTTGGAAATCAGATTCTCCTTCCTCCTCAGAGACTGGTGTTATTACTTGATGAAGACTACAGGTATTATGTCTGTTTAGTGATTTTCCAAACTTTCTTTGTAAAAATTACCTTCCTGTGGTATGCGATCACTGAAGTCTTTGTTCCATTATCTCTGTGATCAGCTAGTGACCAGTTTCTTCTCCATCAATCACTACTCTGGGTGTTGCAAGAGTTTGACGAGGCTTCAGGTTATGAAATAGTTGCTTCAGACAGTGCTTGTCAGCTCAATAGTTGTATCGGTGGACGGGCCAATTCCTGGAGCTTTCTGCTCCACCATCTTTGTGATATCACTTCCTTCATAAGTTTTTAATCCTCATAACAACCCCAAACTGCAGGTGTTTTATGGCAAGATATCCCCAGAGAAGTGTTCTCAATTTACTCATGTTTAAAAGCTTCCTGAGTTAGGGACCATGGCTTTTTCAGCTCACTATAGCCACTCAAACCTGAAAACTTTTAAGAATGAGATGGTCATATGTTCAAGGAAGAGAAAGCCTAGCCCATAGTTAGAAACCCATTCTCTTTGGCCAGTGATTGATTTGGAAATGAGTATGTGACCTATTTCTAGTCTATGAGACATAAATGTAATTTGCTGGAGATTTCAGAAAATATTTCCTTATCTGATAAAATAGGCCCACACTGAGGGAAATACCCCCTTTCCTTCCTGCCTTTGAATTTTTTGCATGAAGATTTAATGCATGGAGAATGCTGGAACACTGAGAAGAAAGCCAAGAAACCACTGAGATGCCCACCAGAGCTCCAACATTGTTACGCTGCTGAATTTATCAACCTTCGTAACCATCTACCTCTGAATTTCTTGTTATATGCGATAATGAGCCCCCATTATTTAAGGGAGTCTTAGTATTCTGCACCCTTCAGACAAAATGGTCCAAAGTCATTCAACCTCTAAAGGCAGAGAAACATGGGGCCGGCTGAGTGGTGCACTGGTTAAGAGCTGGCTTGGGACGCCAGAGGGCCCTGGTTCGGATCCCACATGTGAGGGCCAGTGACACTGCGCTCTACAGCTAAGATGCTGAACAACAGCTCAACCTGGAGCTGGGCTGCCATGAGTCCCCGGCGATGGTGTAGGCTGCAGCCCCTGCTGCAGTGGGTTGCCATGGGCTACCGTGTGTGGCCAGCAGCCAAAGTGAGTGGCCAGCAGCTGCCGTGAGCGGCCGTCCAGAAGTCGGCGACTGATTTGCTCAGCTGGGAAGAGCGCAATGATGGTGCCAACTTGGGCCAGTGAAGTAATGTCCTCCACAACTAGACTGAAGAACAAAAGGACAGCAACTTGTCTATTTTCCTTCCCCCAATTCCCCAATAAAAATCTTTAAAAAAAAAAAAAAGGCAGAGAAACATGAATTCTTATCAGTTCCGTTATATCTGAGAAAACTGCAGCATACCAGAAATATATTTGACTCCTTTTATTTATCTTAAAAATCTAGGTATATCTTGTAATTGCGTCTATAATATACATATACTTATTTCAATATATTTGTCCCAAAGAGCAAAACAAAATCGCTGTAGACAAAATTTGAAAAAAGGTGTGGAAAAGGATAGGGAAGGGCAGATAACTGTGTTTTTGATGCATCAACTTTTAGACTATAACTTCCAATGAGCATCTTCTATTTAATTTGATGGCATTTTATCAATCCATTCTAAAAGATGTTATTCAGACATTAGAAATTTAAGCAAAATTGAAATTTTACATAAATTTTTTTTGAAATAATCTAAATTATTTGTGACTGAATTGTAATACTTAATGAAAGCTTTCTTAGAGTTATAACATCTATCCACAATACACTGAGCAAAGCGTGGTGATTGTGAGAAAGAGAAAACATCATCAAGCCTATTAAAGGAAGAACACTTTAACTTTGTGTTGGTTCTTAGCCTTACCAGTTCTCTGTAGACACCTTCATGTTTCCCCTCTGGTTTGGTTGACTTTTCTTTCTGTAAAATTTCCTTATTTCGGTTACCAGCAGTGTTCATGTTGAGATTACTTCTAGCACCACCCCCACCTCCTCCAAATGTCTTGGTCTTTAGAAAAGAGAAAGATAAAAGAAATATAAGTAAATAGCATTTAAAAATAGTTTTAAAGACTAAGCTACTACTAAAAATATCTAGCAAAACTGTAGTAAAAGTTTCTTATGTTTTACATGAAAAATAAATATTACCTAATTCTTTTTAAGAGTCTCATGCTCTACCGACTGAGCTAGCCGGGCGTGCTTACCTAATTCTTTTTAAACAAATATCTACTAGCCACAATCTCTTTTTTTCCTTAAGTCCAGGCATAGCAATAAAATTATTGTATGATTATAATCTTTAAGTCTCCAAGGCATGTCATCAGAATAAACTTAAATAGACAATAATTTAGGAAAATAAATAAATAATACAAGCACTATGGCGATGAGGTGTGAAAAATGATTCTAGGGTAAAATAGTTGACTGATATCATGAGAGCTGAGTTACAAACCCAGCTACACGACAAGGTTATCTTTAGCAAGGCACTAAACAGTAATATGATTCTAGAATCTTAGAAAGTAAACAAATAATATAAATTTTAACACTGGAGTAAAACTCTCACTAGTAATTTATTATTTACATTAATTACATATGCTATGTCTTACCAATTATGTATAAAAATTTAGAAATCCGTATCTCTTATTTTGCTTAACTTATTTGAATAATTATATATGTAATCAAATTTGAAGGTTTGATTTGATTTCATTTATGTTTTACCAAAACTATTGTGACAAGACTAGAACATAAGAACTTTGGTTTAAAAAGATACAAACTCAAGATTGAAAAGCATTTCACAGTTGTTACTTGTACAATATCAAATGAAGCATCTGATTATATATTTTTATGGTTCTAGCAGATCTAATAAAAGAGGAACAAGTCAAGACTTGATTTTAATTAGAAATAATAATCAACATTTTAAAATGTGTTTTAAAATCATTGCAGTAAGTAAACATCCTAGATATAAATTTATATAACACTGGGAAATTATTTACAATGAGATGAAAATATAAAGAAATAGACCTGAAAATAGAAAAATGATATTAGATAAGCATTTATGGACAACATAATAAATATCTCCATTAGGTGGCTGATATACTACAATATTTAAATTTAATTTAAATCAAAATGAAACTAACCATCTTCAAAGACCAAAGATGTATTACTGGACTCATTCAATTTTTGGTTTGTGCAATCCCAGCACAAAATAGATCTGGAATGTCATGATAGTCATCACTCGTATAATCATAAAGAGAAATGTGAGTTTATATTAATGTAATATAAAGTTTGACAGACTAGGAGACAGTGTAGTATGGTTAGAACACTGACTTTGGAGCTAGACAAAGCTGGGACTGCATCGTGGCTCAGCCACTTCCTTGCTCCTGCCCTCAGGCAAGTCACCTACTTCCTCCTTCCACAATCCTCAGGCTTTTCATGCTTAAAACAGGGATGATGATAAAACCTACCTGACTGGGATGTTATTAGGACTAAATGACATCATCAATATGAGTGATGAATATAGTAACTGGCACGCGGTTAAATGCTCACATCAGATGGCAATATTACTGCTTTTGCTGAATAAATTAGCACATAGTTACCTGAAAGTCTGGAGCCTGACGTGTTCCAAATTAAATATATGTCTGAAATTTAAATTCCAAAACTCTAATAAAAGTGCTTTTTCTTTTGGTGAAAAGTGAAATATTCTCATCTTCTGGATGCATTTCCTTATTATTTTCTTTCCATTTTATGGATTAAGGAATAGGATAAATAGCCTTTTCAGAATTGCTTTTCACTGCTTTAAAACAGTTGTTACTCACTAAAACTATAAATATCCAGGAACATCGCAATTTGAACGTTACCTGCAGGGTAACTGACGTCCTTTCTGAGCCACACCATCTTGCCCATGTTATGTGAATTAGGCATCTGTGAGGTCATCATCACCATGAAACTCAAGTGGGCCTTGCGTTCTGCCTGTCCATCTTCCTGTATTTCCCTAAGCCATTCGCCCTCCCAATCTTAGAGACCAGTATTTTACATGCTCTCCTCACTCCTCAAAGCGCCAGCATCTTCTCCCCCATCATCACTGCTGGCTTTGCTTACTTCCTCACTAAAATAACTGGAACAATCACTGAAGAGCTCGAATAGATTCTCACCACATCAACCCACCAGCTGGTCTCTGCACACTTACACTTTATCTTGACACCATGTGTTTTATCTTACCACCATCTATATGAATGTTAAGAACAATGTGCCAGGAATGAATGACGCCCCCGATTCTACTTTAATTCGCAGGCCACATTTTACAAGACTTTTCAATATGTTTGATAAATTCAACACTCCGTCCTCCATGACACAATTTCTGCATTTGCTTGTTTTGATCCTATCTTACAGGTCCAACCTTGGCTGGTTCCACTTCTTCAACCAACCTGTAAGGCTGAAATGCTACAGGATTCATTCCTTCCCCGCTTCTCTTCCCTGTCAGCACTTATTCCTTTGGTGATCTCATTTGGCCTCATCATTTTAAATGTCATTTATATGCTTACAATGCCATCTTCATTCAGGCTGCCATCATTTTTCTACCCCTGGATTACTTCAGTAATTTCCTAAATTGTCAGATTCCAATCTGCCTTCTCTACAATCTGTTTTGAGCACAGCACCAGAATGAGACTTTTAAAATGGAGGTCAGCTGATGTTACCACTGTGCTGAAAACCCTCCCCAGGTTCATTTTTCTCAGAATAAAGACCAGTGTCTTTAAAATGGCTTCTAGGGCTCCACATAAGCAGAACCCCACCATCACTCTAAGTTTATATTCTACTACTTGTCCCATCGTTCTCTCTGCTTCTACTGGTCACCTTGCTGTTCCTTGAACATATACTCCTGCTTCTGAGCCTTTGCAAGAGCTTTTCCTTCTTCCTAGAATATGCTTCTCAGATAACTAGAGCTAATTCTCTTACCTCTTTCAAGTCTTGGCTCAAACCTCACCATATTGAGGCATAATCAAACTACTATATTTAAAACTGAAATCTGCAATTTACTTATTTAGTATGTTTACATTATTTGCTGTCCTTACTAGAATGTAAACTACACAAGAATTTCAAAGAATTCTCAATTTCTGACCATAAATTGCACCTCCCCCATGGCACTCCCAAAGCCCCATCCTATTCTACTTTTTCTTCTTTTCCCCCTTTAGTACTGACCGACTTATAAGCTACCACAATTTACATACGTGTTATGCTAAAAGTCTGTCCACCTTACTATATATAAGCATGATAAGGGCAGAGATCTTTTGTCTGTGTGTTCATTGATTTCACCTAAGCATTTAAAACACTCCCAGCATATAGTAGGTTCTCAAAAAATATTTGCTGAATGAAAGAATAACGGAAAAAGGAATGAAAATGGTCACTTGGTCATCTGCAGTAGATTCTACCAAATCCACAAATATGTTTAAATGAATGATTACAAAATATCTTTACAGAACAATTACACTGTTATGTGATTTTCATGGTCAGACAGATTAAAGATAAATATGTGGAATACTATCTATAGAGAAAGATAAACAGGTATAGAAATAATCTATTATAATACACATAGGTTTGTCCTAGACTTGTCACTGGGTAAAGTCTGCCAAGTTTTGAGCCTCTGTCAAGTCTCATACATAAATTAAGAAGGTTTACATCTGCTTCAGAAACCTTTGATTCTTTATTTATCAAATACTATGGGAAACATAATGTGATCAATTATGAGTTTACATAGTCAATTATAGTATATTATGTTGACTGTATTCTGGTAAACAGACAGCAGTAAATCACATCAACTCAAATTTTGGGAGAAAAGTTTGAGAAAAATGTGAATCAAAAGAACAACTTTCCTACAGTCATTAAGAAATTGATATACACCCAATATGCTCTTCCGAAACTCCATAATTTTAATAGCTTTTTGGGAAAAAGAAACACATTTCACGTAAACTGTGTAAAATGTCTTAATTTTTAAAATATTAAAAGTGACTTTTTAAAATGTGCCTCAGGAAAGAGAAAATCCTGAAGAATAGCCGTTAGTCACGTTTATTGAGAGCTTTTAGCAAAGGAATATGATTATCTGTACCATGTAGTGTTCTAAATGTTTTAAAGATTATCAGTTTTAATTCTCACCATAACCATATGAAGTAGGTACCATTATCACCTTCTTTTCATAGATAGAGAAAAATGGGGTACCAAATTTTAAGTAACCCAACCCAGGTTGTCAGCAGGATATGCTCCCACGGCGCCTGATTCCAGAGTCTGTGCCCTCAGCCCCTACATTAGACACATGATAGAAAGACATGCTGCAGGAAGAACCACCAAAATGCAAGAAGTCTCCTTCTTAAACTTTGAATTTCGATAGAAACCAACTAGCCCTGAGTAAAGGAAACTATTTCAATCTCATTGGTTAAGAAAAGTCTAAGAAACTAATTCATTAATTAAAATTTCTTCTCAAAGTCCAAATCAATAAATAGGGAAAAACACCTATTTAAAATAAGCCAGAAATTAAAAATAAAAATAAAAAACAACATTTGGATATTAATAGTAAATGATGGCAGAGGTGTGTGTGTATAAATGCCCACATAATTCAAAGAAAAAATATTTTTTTCCTATATATTAAATAGATTTAAGAACGAAAACTGACAAAAATATTAATCCTGAGCCACTGATTTATCCTCTGATTTTTACCTGCATTTTCAGAAATTGCTATTATAGAGGGAAATTATCCTCAAAAAGTGTCATCAAGCCCAGCTACTAATAGGAAACCTCTGTCATAATAGAAAGTATTGGCTTCAACTGTTACACTGTTAGAAGAAAAGGAAGAGGGAGAAGAGAAGGGTGGCTTGCTAGCGAGAATAACTGAACGGAATTGTCAAGGGGATCTGGAAAAAGAACACATGACCAAAATGTGTAAGCTAAAGCCTCCTGATGAATATGCATGGAGAATGTCCAAAGTTTGTTAAATTAGTTACCTTATGAAAAGACAATAATAATTATAAGGAGTGTAAATAGAACATGATGGCAAGAAATAAAAACAATGTATAATGATTTCGTTTCTTACTTCTTTGCTTTTTGCAACTTCTGCAATGGCAGCAGTCCTTTGCTTTTCAAATTCATCATTATCATTGGTAGGTTTGACAGGCGTGGCAACTTGCAATGTCTTTCTTCGATCCAGTTCTCTGCTATCCACTTGGACATGAGATACACATTTCTGGTAAAAATAAATAAAAATCAATCACTTCATTAGTTCCAAAAAAGATTCAAGGTTTTAATAAGAAAGTACTACTTCTTCAAAAGAAATGTTTGCATCACAACAGCTGAGAGCCCATAAAAATACAAGTACAATTCTTTCCCACAGATTTAAAAATAAAAGTAGAAAGCTGATGTAAGTAACTTTTAAATAAGGTAACTGGTAAATAAAAAGCTACACAAAAATATGGCCATCTAAAATATACTTTGACCAAAAGATCTAAGTTTCATTTTAAGATAATGACCTAAAATAACTTAAAATTTCAAACAGTCTAGACTAGTGCACAAGAAAAGGTAAATTCAGTGTTTAATACAGAGCTTGATTTACACATTATGTCACAATATCCATATGAGGGTTCAGATATTTTAACATATAAAAAGATGCCCTTGAACTTATAAACCAAAAGTTAAAAAAAAACCTTTCCTTCAATCAGGCTACAAAGTTTTTTGATTTTTAGTCTCATAAAATACATTGAGAAAGTCTCATTACTGAAAAATAAACCCTGAATTCTGTCCTCCCTTCCAATCCTAGCAATAAAACATCCTATAAAATGAACCTTTTCTCAACTCATTAGTAAGAGGAAGAAAAGCATGTTCTCAAACGAAAGCGTTATACAAATACAGATTTTTAGCAATATAAGTATACCCTGTTGATGCCAATTCACAGCCAGCATTATCTGTCTTTAACTCATATACAAGGCTAAGTATGCTGAATAAGAATTTTTCAGAATGGACTTTACAAACAAATATTATTAATTGAAACTATAATTTTTATTGTACTTCCTGAGACAAAAAAATTATAAAACACACTTCAAGTTCTGCAAAATAATTAAATCATAAGTCTCTGAGCAATTTATGAAAGAAATATTATCACTAAAATGTTTAAGGGAAAAGCAAATTCTTACAGACATATCACTTATCATTTTTAAATACAGATTATTAGAATGTTTACACTCTGTTTTCCTTCTGGGGGTTTTATTACACTGGTAGAAGTGAGAATATCATCAACACAGATCATACCACAGGGCACCATGCCTCCTTTTACCCTTTAGTCCCTTGTTTCAAAGCACAATAAAAATTGACATATAGCCATGATGCAAGAATGACTTTTATTTAATGTTGAGTAGACCCTACAAAACGGGTTTTGAAGAAGATACCAATCAACGATCTTACCCATTTATCTTCTGATCAACTAGGTATCTGTTTTTCAAACGAAAAGACTTTTTTTAAAGTTGCTACTGAAATGAAGGTGGCTGTTTCCTACCTGTTGTACCCCCAACTCTCCTGCACTCTGAGCCTGTACTCTCAAAGAAAAGCAAAGAGCAAACGCAAAGCGGGTTACCAACAGCTAAACTGGGGAGGCACCATGTGGTGAAGAACAAGTTGCCACAGGGATTAGGCTCAGACTCTTCAGGGACAACACAGGGGAAGGCTGCAGGAGATTGTTCTTGATGCAGTTTGACTGAACTGAACACAACCAGGAAGACACAAGGAGCTATGTCAAGGTAACACTTCTCAGCAGGGGGTTAAAACACAGCAAGTAGACTGAAAGCTTTTAGTTTATGTGAGAGAAGGGTCAGTGCAGCTGTGGTTGAAAAGAAAAACACCAACTGGAAATAAAATTGAGTCCCTGACTGAGATGCGTATTTGGATCAATGCAAATGGATAGAATCTTGGGAGAGGCAGCTGGGACAGCAGGCTCCCCTCACGTGCAATGATACCCTGACTCTTGTGTTCTCACTATTTTGTCTCATCCTTCTGGTGACACTTTT